AGACAAGACATACATCGGTGGCTTCAGATACACAACACAATACAGTAAAATATCCATAACAACCCTTCATCAAAATGCGCGTGAACATGGATGAATAGTCGAAACCATCAGTTGTTTAAGATTGTTGAACATGCGCAAAAGTCGGTATACCACTAGGAACTACATGTACTGGCCCACAAATCGACTCTTACACCTCCTCATCCACGTAACCCAACGCCTGTCCCATGCGCAGCGTCTGTCCCTTCTCGACGTTCCACCTCCACCCGCCCTTGAGCGCATCGCCCTTGCCGGCGCCCTTCTCCGCCGGCGCCTCGAAAACGAGCACGACGGTGCTGCCGAGCTTGAACCCGCCCATCTCCTCGCCCTTGCGCAGCGCCTGGCCGCCGAGCACGGCGCTCGAGCTGGCGTATGTCGCCTCCGAGAAGCCGAGGTAGGGCTCGCCCTTCTTGGCCGCCGCCTCGGCGGCGCGGTCGGCCTCCGTGTCTGTCGTCAAGCTGTTGGTGCGCAGCTCGCGGTCAAAGTTGATCATGATGGAGCCGACGTTGGTGGCGCCGACGGGGATGTAGGAGAAGAAGCCCCAGCGCCAGCGGCCGAGGAGCACGACGCGCTCGTTGAGGGTGAAGAGGCCGGGGAGGGTGCGCTGGAGGTACGGGGACACGGAGAAGAGCTCGCCCGCGAAGTGGCGGCGGCGCTCGACCACCCAGTTGGCGGGCGAGTGGAAGCGGTGGTAGTCGCCGGGCGCGAGGTAGATGACGGCGTAGTAGAGGGCCGTCTTCTTCTCCTCCGGCGCCAGGTAGGCATACCACGGCTTGTCACCGAGGGCGAGATCAGCGTGGACGGCGCGCTCGGTAGCGGGAGACGCGGGGCGGATCGATTCGTCGTGCGGTTTGGAGAGCCTGGTTGACTTGTCCTTGTCGCCGGAGAAAAGATCGGGAAGAGTGTAAGGGATGCCGTTGACGCGCGCAAACTCCTCGTCCGTCTTGACCAAGTCTTCGTTTTCGTTGATCTGGCGGAGTGGGGTTTTGATATCGCCGTTCGAGAGGTCACTGGCGATACTTGGCGTCGGTGTGCGCTTGCCTAGCAGAGCGTCGATGCTGTACGTCATGCCCTTGACCTGTTCAATGTCGCCACCTTCAATCTGGCCAAACTGAAGGATGCGGCCATCGGAAGGAGAGAGCAGGGCGTTCGGGTGCGGGTCCAGTGGGCGTGAGCCTGGCTTGAGTGTGCGGTAGAAGAAGGCGGCGAGGTTGGGATATGTGTGCAGGTCAGGTTCGGAGACTTCGTCAAGGCTGCAAACATGTTAGTCACTGTTTGACAGTGCTTCTGCGAGGGCGGATCGGAGCTTACTTGACGCCGAAGATCCAGGCGTACAGCTTGAACCCAGGGACACGCAGGTAGTAGGGAATGTCAATCTCGTTGAACCGGCCCCAAAGCCTCGACATGGCCTTCAGCGGAAGCGTAGACATGACGCGAACCTGCCAAGGTCCGTCTGGCCTGATGCGCTCCCTCTTCTTGGGGGTGCCACTCTCCATCTCGCCGAGCTCCTTCTGCTTCTCAGCCTCCCGAGTCGACGTTTTGTAGAACTGCATCAGGCCCATGAAGCCAATGCCGACTCCGATGGGCAGTTGATACCATGTGATTTTGGAGCGCGGGCGTTGCTGGGACTTATGCGAGTAGAGGCGAGCCGAAGGTTGCGTAGCTCGAGGGTACCGCTGAGCAACGTAGCGGGCGCGGGTCGTGATCATGCAGGAGGAGCATGGCGCGCTGATGGACTTGCTCAAGGCGCTGGTCCGCAGAGGGACCGGGCCGAACAGCGAGACCATGATGAAGTCGTCAGTGAATTGCGATCATTCAGTAGCTGCAAAGTCGAACGCTATCTCGTGTCGAGTTCGAGTACACGGCGGCCCGGATGGTGGTGTGATGAAGGACTCCAATTGCAAAGGCGGAGAGGTATGATGTCAAGTACCTGCATCCAACTGCAGGACAGAGCAATTCCCCAAGCGTTCTTTCGAACGAATCAGCACGACCGGGGGAGGAGGCTCGGTGAGTCGGTGTACCCTCGGTAAGACCTTCCAGGGATGAAGAGGCCACTCTCGAGTTGAAGTGGGCCAGTTCATTCGAACAGCTGTCAATCGGGAGACGTAGGTCCGAGTGCCACCTGCCGTATTGCGAAGTGGCAGACGTGGAAGTGGTGACCCAGTACTTGTCATTGTGAGACTGCAACCCAAAAAGAAAGAATACGTCGACCCCCTCAACAAGCATCACGAACATCAACAGCCGGCACCCGTCCTGCCCAGCTGCGAGAAGCTGTACCTCTGTTCGATCGATCAACTGGTCGGATTACTCAGTTCTCGAGCTCCCACTATCACCGTGCGCACCTTCTTATTGTCGTGAGCTTCTCGCGTTGCTTTGCACTTCGCTAGGGCGACCAGCCGTGAGACACCGCCACCAAGGCACCCGAATCAGCTATAGCATACGTACCTCACCCATCATTTCAACGAGGCTTCACGAGCTCTTCGAGTCATGTCTTCTGACAGTTCTTCGTCTTCCGTTGCGGATGGGCCGCCTGCGCCGACTCCGACATCAGCACCCGTACCCGCCGACCTTCCATACGATCAGCTTACCGTCAGCCTCAACATCATTTCGCCCACGACGACCGCTATCTCGGGCGGGCCCTTGAGCTTCCCGGACCTTTCCATCTCAACAACTATCAGCCAGCTGAAGGAAAAGATCCGCAACGCCATTCCCTCCAAGCCCGCCGACACCCAGCAACGCTTGATATATCGAGGAAGACATCTCCAGGCCGACAATGATACCTTGGGGCAGATCATCGGGGAGGCAACGGTCAGTACATCCCATCCCATGTTTATCCTGCGATACATTCTAACGGCCTTTAGATCCGTGAACATAGCCTGCAAGCCTTTCATCTTGTCCTCCGCGGCATTCCCGATGCACCTGCTCCAGCACCCTCGGTCCTGCGTGGTCGCATACCGACACCAGGCGAAGCCCGCCCCTTCGCGACACAAGCCCAAACCCAGAACCCTCGACAGCAATCACCACTCGGTGCTCCGACACCTGAAGCAGCAAGGCGAACGGCAGGCTTTGCGATACCGACAGCGCCAAATTTCACGCCGCAACAGGTTCAGCAGATGCACTCGCAACTGCACCAGAGCATGAGCGCTTGGTCGAGTGGTCTGCAGCGAGAGGCTGTCAACAGGGCCATGGCCAATCATCAGATAAATCACAACCAGTCAGCGAGGGCTGCTATGGGCATGCATGGCATTGGGGATAACGGCGCGCCAGCGACCGGACCAAGTCAACGGGATGTCTCACGTGGTAGGAGTCCCGGAGGGCAGCCGTACACGAGGACCGTTGTCAGGGAAGGCACATTGGGTGACGGGCAGCCCTATCGAGTCACAAACACCGAGACATGGACTCCTTTGTCAGTCTCAGACGTTCAGGGCATCCTCAGGGGTGCCGACGCCGGCCAGGCAACGCAAGCCATGACCAACGCCATGCAAAGAAGCGAGTCGCCGGGCCCAGGTGCTCTGCCTTTCGGACTACAGCCGGGCGCGAGCACCCCTTACTATCCCACCATGGGCTCTCGGGCTGCCAGTCGAAGCCGCAGCAGCCGGAGGGGCACACCTGATCCTGTGCCACGATCCGTTAGCGAAGGGCACAGCGTAAACGCGCACACAAGCTCAGCGCAACCGCCAGCGCAATCCTCTGGCCCCGAAGTCTATATCTTGTTATCTCCACAAGGACCTCGTGCCCTGCTCATCAACAACACCAGCAATGAAACGTACTACACACCAAGCCTCCGCCTTCCTGTCCCGGATCCTGCAGCTGCCTTTGCCAGATTCGCGCCTCATGGTCGCTCGCCACAGCATTCGCCGTGGCCAACTGGCCCGTTTACCATACCGCCCACAACACAGCCATTTCAAGCCCCGCAACAGCAGCCACAGCCGCAGAACCAGCAGCAGCAGCAACAACAACCTCAAAACCCTCAGTGGCAGGCACCGCCTCATGGTCTGAATGAAGTTCCCATTGGAGCTTTGCCTGCTCATCCGAACAATCCACGACTTGCGCCCCTCATAGCCCAGATGCTGCCACACTTCTGGCTTGTGGTCCGCTTGGGGGTCTTCATCTGGTGGTTCACTTCCCCCAACTCTAGCTGGTCCCGTTGGGCAACAGTCATAGCTATCGCCATTAGCATCTTTATTGTGAACACTGGTCTCTTTGACGCCTACTTCGATCGAATTGTTGCGCCTATGAGGCGACATCTCGATAATCTCCTGCCACTCGCCAACAACAACCACAACAACAATCCGCCAAACAACGCAGACCTTCCTGGCAATCCCGATGACCAACGTGCGCCATTGGCAGCACAACACAACGGTCCGCTTGACCCTGCCCAGGCTGCTGCCCGACTCGTAGCTCGAAGACGCCATGATAACACGACCTGGCTGATGGAACAGGCACGTCGTCTCGAAAGAGCTGGTCTGCTGTTTCTGGCCAGCATCGCTCCTGGCGTGGCCGAGCGGCACATTGCTCACTTCGAGGAACAAGAGCGGGCTGAAAGGCGGCGCAGAGAAGACGCCGAAGCTGCTGCTACAGCCGCCGCCGCTGCCGCCAACGGCGAACCGGAGGCCGCTGCTGAGAACGCAGAGGCTAATACGGGTGGAGTCGTCGCGCAAAATGAGACATCGGCCTCGGCAGGGCCTGCTGACGGTCAGCAGGGCAACGATCAGCCGGCTGAGAGAAGGGAGGCCGAGCCGTTGATTGCTGTGTAACAGCGGATTGATATTTTTTCAGGCGGTGTCTGCTGTGACGATATGTTTTGTCCAAGAGCTGAAGAGAAGATACCAATCCCAATGCGAAGGAAGATTTTGAATACGTAAAGGGTCGGATATGAGTGATGTGAGCAAAGTCGCTGAAGTTTTAGATGAAACCCTGTGAAGATTGTGTCTTCTTTTGAGGGAGCATAAGGGTTAGAGGTTGAAATGGTTATTGGGCCGCCTGGGCGCCTCCACCAGACGCCTTCGGCATCGAAGCCCACTCTCGCTCACCGACACGACGCTTTGAGGCAAGGTAGGTAGGTAGGCACGTGCATGAACGACATTCCTATTCAGCCTCGAGTCACGTTCTGGCAATTTGGGAAAGGCAATCATGTTCCGCCCTTTTCTTGCACTTGTTAATGTTGCGGGGTTGATGTCTTCGGTATGTGGATGTCATATCCTTGAGAGGACGCTGTGCATGTCCATTCTCTGCGAAACGATACCCAACGTTGCACTCCTGCGCGAAACCTAAGAACAAATTAGCTACGCTGCGGGAATGGCCACGAAACGCGAGCACCGAAGTACCGCGATATGGACACATAGTGACATCGATTCACTCGACATATCTCGACCCGACCGGTTCGACCCAATACAGTTGCATCACTCAGTCGTCGAAAGCCTTGGCAAAGGCTATACCTGAGCATCTAGCTCGCATAATACAATAGAATGGGCAGATATGTGGCGATCAAGATTGCGATCGTAGACTGGAGTTCGAAGAAAGCCCAGATCTTGGAGAAGCTCGCTGCTTCCCAATGAAGGGCTTTAGTGGTTAGTTCAAACTGGCCGTTCTCGACCGTTTTTGGCTAAAGGGGTCGAAGGTTACGCATTTCTATCTGATCGCCAGGCCGGCCTGATATAGCCTCGTCAACTTCCTTCCGTTCTATGCTATTTGCGATAGATTCAAGAGCATATTGCAGTTCAGGCTGTGCGAGCGAGCAATTGTGGAGGATATATTCAACAGCATCGACGGGTGACGGAGTGGGCGATGCTTGGTGTTGGGAAGAATCCAGTTGAGAGCCAGCTGCAGCTGGATCAGAAACTTCTTGGAAGGCATGAGGAATGTTTGGAGCTGGATATTTGGTGATGGCAGCCCGGTTTGCCCAATTCTCAACCGTATAGACGGTACCCAGCAGATCATCCCGAGCATAGTCAGGCGACCTTGAGTACATTTCTTCACCCAAGGGTTTCCCCGGTCTTACTGGCTTGCTGGGTCAGGCCACCCGAACAGCCGAACGCATTATACCGTCGCCATGTATGTTTGGTCTGGCAGACAGTCAGTGAGCACCGGTAAATCCGACTTCCCTTACTAGAATGTCCCTGGCGGATAGGGCACAGCTTTGACCTTTGACGCAGAGATGGCCATGTTCTCACATCTGCACCTTCGGGGCTCACGAAGCGTGCCGATTCTGATAGAGCGATGACACCGCTTCGTGGAAGTCATAAAGGATACCATGGTGATACGTTGACGTGCGATACGGTTCGCAACAGCCCCGCTTCTTTAGTTTCAATGGGAGAGGCGCTGTGTGAACGCAACTGCCGAGTGGCAATAACTTTCATCCCATCCCAAGCCTCGGCGCCGTCAGCAGCACAAACAAAGCCGTTGGCTTCCGCTTCTATTCTTGGCGTTTCCTCGGCCCGGCCTCGGAGCCACGGGATCTCGCAAACAGACTGCGAAAAGGGCTTTTGTGATGAGCCACGAAGGCGCGTGCTGGCGACAGAGATGGGACGGATAAGTCAGGTGTGGAAGCTGGGACTCAATTTTTTGTTTTGGTCGTGGGGGAAGGAGGCTTTTCAGGAGGCTTTTTCACGGCTGGAAGCGTTCTTGCAATTCCTTAAGCTTCCGTATGGAAGCATTTGGGACAGAACATGCAATCGTAGGCGAGGAGCCGGCACTCGCGTCGGGAATGGAAGTTTTCTTCCTGGCGATGAAACGGCCGTTCAGGGGCGTGGTGGCAATCACCGATGGCTGACAGAAGCGATGTCACTTGAATCCCAGCTTCAAGTCCCCTCAATTTCATTGAACATGCTAGATCGTTAAAGCAGCGGTGTCAGCGTCAATGGACCTACCCAGGTACCTGACCTTATGTCAAGCAGGCGGTTTGCCTGCTAGAAGCAGGGCACATCGCTAACCTGGCCCAAGTGCTGTGAAGCAGATCTGCACCTGAAGTATGAGGGAAGTCTGAGCACCTCTCCTCTGACCCAAAAGCCTTGAGAGAGCACCAAGCACTCCCCCACGGTAAGACCTGTCGCTTCGAGAGAGCAAGATCATCTGTGCCAGCTTTGCGGGCCATGCGTTTGGTTTGGGAATCGGGGCAAGCGTTATGTTTGGCAAGGGTAAGAATGAGACGACGAGAAGAGGCACGTTGATTGCGAAGATCTGGGGGGTTCTGAAGGGTTAGGGGGGTTGCGGAAGTCGGTCGATCTGGGGGTACATTGGAATTCGCTGGGGGGCGCTAGGTGGCTTCGAGAAGGCCTCAGGGGTGGGCCTCCTCTGGGCGGTTGAGTGGGAGATGATTCGGACAAGGAGTTGGGACGAATGTGGAGGCGATGCGACGGCGAGAGGAGCATCGAAACCAAAGGGCGGCGGAGACGGAACTCGAGTTGAAAATGCAGTGCTATGATGTGGTTGTTCCAAGCACATCGGGAGCCCCTCTGATGTCAAGGACCTGGAACTTGGGCAGTCTCGGCCAGGGGGAGGGGGGGGTTTGGAGGAGCGGCAGCTAGGAAGGTTGGTGATGTTAGGTAAGCTGTGTGGCGCCTTCTGCAACAGCGCGGGCTTCAGGCATCTGGGAAGGTGCTCCTGGCCTGTACTCTAGCTGAAGGTGCCTTCCAGTGCCTTTCTCTCCGTCCAGATGATGATATCGCAACTTGTTCCCCCTACTTCGTCTCGGGACAGCCCAGGCATCATCATCATCGCCATCACCGTCAAGCACCCCGTTCAATTGGCTTCCCGTCTCAGAGAGCTGAACCTTCGTAACCGTTGAAAGCACTAGCCACTCGGACTGACCATCGGCAACACGGACGCAACCTTCTCAGACAGCCGCCAGACTCCTGGCGATCGTCCACGTTTCAGACCCAGAACGACCCTCGCGACAGAGACAGACCGAGCAGCAAGAAGCAGATCACCAATACAGGTCCCCTCTGGCCTGTGCTTTTGCTCCTGGAACCTCGCCTGGAACTCTGTGTGGTACCAATTCGCCTACCATGGCTCGTCTGCCTGTTGTGACGCTGCTTTCACGCCGCTGTCTTTGTTTCCGATGGACAACCCTTCCCGGCCTTCAAGATTCCGATTTCTTTCACGACTTTGTTTCTTGAATCTTCTCCTCTTGACATTCATCTAGGGACTCGTCTTCCAAGCATCGGTTGCTGGATTGACTTGTTTCCACTTGCCTCTCTCTTGCCTCGAAATACGGTGGACGCTGTCGCCGTCCTGCATCACCCGATCAACTTTGTCTCTCGAGATTTCGATGCGCTAGCTGCGCTTGTCGATCTTGCTCTTTGCGACTGGCAATAGACTCTGCCCTATTTGACTGCTCGCCTGCTGCTGCGCGACTGCCCTACTCCAGGAACTCTATAGACTAATGGCCCATGGCCTGACGACGAACTTACACCATCTCCATACGTCCCTCGACTTACACCCCCGATTGGCCATTGCCTCGGTCAAGTTCTCATAGCCTCAGTTGCCAGAACTATACGCCTTCATCTTCCATCACGACATGAACGAGTCATCCGAGATGGTATCAGCCGCTGACATAGTAGACTTCCAGCTGCCGCGGGTTGTGCATGGAAGCAAGAACCTAAGTTACTACGTCGGCCTCGGTGCCATTCTCTGTGTGGCCTGGTTCTTCCAGTCGAGGAAACACAAGCAAATTGACGTTCCATACTACAAGGCGGCCAAGACCAAGTGGATCTTTGCAGCTGAGAGCCTCGTCCTCGACAGCTACAATAAGGTCAGTTCAACCGTCCTTGATTTGTCTGCGCCGCCTAACAACCTAGTTTCGCGACACCATCTACCAAATCAGGGCCACCGAGGGTGTGCAGGTGTTGGTTCCTGCGAAGTATCTTCCCGAGCTCAAAGGATTGCCGGAGGATGTACTTAGCGCGCAGGAGGCCGTGAGCGAGGTGAGAGATTTTGCCTGACACTGCAAGAAGTGATGCTTATTTCCAGGCTCTCATGACCAAATACACCAAATTTGGTCTAGGACACAACGCAGAAATGCTGTCAACGCTCATTCGAGTCCGCCTTTCTCAAAACCTCGCACGACTCGTGCCGCAGCTGAAAGGCGAACTCGAGTCGATTGTCGCGACGGAGTTTCCTGAGTGCAATGGTAGGCCCAAAATCATCACTTTGCACTAAACATTGGACTGACGAGTACAGACTGGATGTCTGTCAAGTTCCAACCTTTCGCGTTACGCGCCATCTCGCGCATCAGCGGCCGCGCATTTGTCGGTCCCAGCATCAACCGCTCAGAGCAATGGATGGACACGAGCATCAACTTTGCTATCCATGTTTTCACTGCCGTCGTCAAGCTACAGTTCTTCCCTGAATGGTCACGTCCAGCAGCGCAGTACCTCGTGTCAGAATTGAGGCAAATTCGGAAAGATATCGATGTCGCCAAGAAGATGTTGAAGCCAGTCATTGAGGAGCGCCTACGCGATATGGAGATGCATTCGGCGGAAGAGAAGCCGGATGACCTGATTCAGTGGTTGGTCGAAGCTCTACCCGCAGAGGAGAAGACGGACTACGAAGCACAGGCGCATATCCAGCTCGTCTTAGCCGCAGCATCGATTCACACGACCACGAACCTCGTCACGGACTGCATGTACGACCTTGCAGCTCATCCAGAGATACAAGAGATGCTTCGCGAAGAAGCACACCAAGTCCTGGAAGTTGAAGAAGGTTGGCTACGTAAAGAGAGCATGGCGAAGCTTAAAAAGCTGGACAGTTTTATGAAGGAGACACAGCGCCTCGCCGGCAACATCAGTAAGCCCTTCTCTCGCACCGTTCTCGCTGACCAATGCTAACCCGTGGCAGCTGGCTTCATTCGCAAGGTTTTGAAGCCCATCACACTATCTGACGGCACGCGTCTGCCGCCAGGCACTAAGCTGCTCACGCCACAAGCCGGCATCTCACATGACGAACGATTCTTTGCAGACCCCGAAACATTTGATGCCCTGCGCTTCTATAAGATGAGGCAGGCATCCGAGGAAGAGGGACACAGGTGGCAGTTCTCAAGCATCGGCGACACCAATGTCAATTTTGGCGCTGGACGGCACGCCTGTCCTGGAAGGTTCTTTGCAGGCAACGAAATCAAGATGGTGTTGGCCTATTTCCTGCTGAAGTACGAGGTTAGGCTCAAGGATGGGGAAGGTCGACCGAAGGGGATGATGATGGTTATGAGCAAAATGCCAGATGCCAACGCCGAACTGCTGTTCCGCAGGAGAACGGTCGATTAAGCGACGAACGTGGCGAGGCGGGGCCTGGCGCTTCGTCGACGATGACTTGGTTATGACCAGTGTATCAGTACTAGACGAAGTAAACAAATACGGTTAATGACGCGTGTCTGTACTCAAGACTTCAACGGCTGACGATCATTGCAGACCGATGTTACCTGTGTTACAGGACCGATTCCAGGATCCAAACATCAGGGAGAGCTTAGAACGCGGGACCACCCCTTTGATAGGTCACGCAAGGTATCTTCCAAGGCTGGCTGTCCTATCTACTTGACTGATCACCCCCTGTGCCGCCCTAACTGGTCAAAATGCCCAGAAGACCACAAGCCCCACGCTCAGCATCTTGACATGAGGCACGTTATCTGCTGCCGGGTAGACATATCCCAGGACGAAAAAGTATGCAAAGCAAAACACATGCGTCGCGAGAACGGCAAAATGACCCCCCTCAGCATGGGCGGCTGCAACGCTGCACTGCTAGGTTGGTACATGCTTTCCAGAGCCTTTTGCGACTTGAAAAGGAGTAGGAAGGCAAGGCAGTGGCTCGATAGCCACACCCAGTGCTGCAGCACATCATCGACCCCCGGCCACCCCTGATCCGCGTAGTAGCCTCTCGGCAGTCCAAGCCATGGACCTGGAATGCAGACCCCGATCGGGATCAAGTGTTGGAGGATGTTCATGGGTCGGAAAGCAAGGAGCCGCAAGCGCCCGAGCTGCATGCGGTTGCTGAGCCATGAGTTTTGCCAGTAGGCGGCGCAGCAGAAATAGACCTGGCCGAGAAGGAACACCAGATTGCTCGACCATGTCTCCGAGCTGGGCGTGCGGGCGTGGACGTAGAGTTGCACGAGGAAGATAGCGATGGCGGTTCTGTAAATTGGAGATGTCCGGAAGAAGACGTCGTGAACAGACGTTATGAGCGAAGGCGGGGTTCCAGGCCGGATCTCGAGCACGTACTGGCCGTGGCTCTGGTGGAGGGCCGACTGGACGTGGAGGTTCGCGAACCTGTGCACGTGGTTCTCGCCGGGAAGCGTCACGACTTGGTTTACGAAGGGCGAAGAGTGCCAGGCCAGGGCCCAAAACGCCTCGCTGAAGCTGCGCGGCGCATGACGACGGCGAAGCCTCGTTCGGCCTCGGGCTCGACGTCCTGCGACCACTTGGGTCCGAAGAACAGCGTGACCTCTTGCCAACGGCCCGAGTCGTCAAAAGCCGGCAGCACGAAGCGATCGGCCTGGCGAAAGCGGCCTCGAGGGGTCACGGCGTGGAGGCGCTCGGGCAGGTTGTCGGCAAGCTGCAGGGTGATGCTGCCGCATTTTCCACCGATATTGGGGGTGGGAAACTGCAGGGCACTGTGCCAGGTTGAGGTGGAGAGCGTCTCGAGGGTTTCGTATTCCGCATACTGAGCTACTTCCCATGGTACCACAAAGACAGGGTCGTCCGAGCCGCCGGCCGGCGCTATGACGGGCCTCGCGCGGTGCCACTCGGCCGCGGCGTGTTGCCGCGCCGTGAGGAGACCCATGACGGAATGCTTGTCGTCGTCCACATTTCGGCAGTTGAGCAGCGCGATGCGGACGTTCTCTTGACTCCCGCGGATCACCGGGACACGCATCTGAATCCCCGAGCTCGTCTGCCTGAGATCAATCCTGAGACTCTGGACCAAAGGTCGCGGCGAGGGAACGGTCCGCCCAACCGGTGAACCGCGCCGGTGTCGCGGCTAGCAGGCCCGAATAGCTTCCTGATGTCACCGTGGCCTCTTCGAGCTCCGGTATCGTCCAGTCCTTATTCTTAACGATAGTCGTCTTCATCTTGCCCCATGCAAACAGCGACTGGTCGGCTGAGTTCTTCATGATCTCCTGCTGCAGCCTCAGAAAGCTTTCCTCCCCTCGCCGTACAGAAGCGGCATGTTGACATCGAAGAGGCCCATCAGGGAGTACGCCTGGTCCTCGAGACGGGTCGTCTGGCGGGTGGCGGCCCACACCATGCGTTGCGCGACGCTCGCGGATCGGATATGGCTCTCGCCCGACAGGAAGCGCCTCGGAATGCTCGACGCTTCGCTGATGGCCCGTTGCAGCGACGTCCGGGTGCCGACGAACAGCCAGTCGGTGTCGTAGAACTCGACCGTCTTGGGCGCGAGCAGCTCCTGCAGCGTCCAGCCGCGCCTGAACCACTCGCTCGCTCCGATCTCTGCCAGCGGCGCCGCCGAGGGACGACCGCCTGCCCTGACGTCGGCGAGGTAGACGTAGCACACTCCGCCTGCTCGTACCAGCGGAACATGGAGTTGATGGCCTCGGACAGCTAGGCGCTGCTCGTCTTGTCGATGCAGCACGTGTAGATCCAGAGGTGGTCGTGGCCCTTGGCCGCCGCGAGGTCTTGCAGCGTCAGCTCGGGGTCCTGCCAGCGGTGCGACAGGATTGCGTAGCGCGTCCTCGCGCTGTCGAAGAGTTTGCGGTCGACGAGCTGCTTCGTCCTGACGTCGAGGAGACGCATGATGGGTGCTGACGCCGGTTGTGATGATGAAGTGAGGTGAAAAGAAAGGCGGGGGTTCAGTCGATTGAGACGATGCCGTCGATGTGAAACGCCCAGAAGCTGATGGCAGATGCACATAGCCTCGAGAGTTGGCAACTTCGTCGGTTGGTTTAGAGTGAGAGTAGTTGCTTGGGCTTTGAGGGCGGCGAGAGCTGATGCATGGCGCAGCAGCATCAGGCTGTTGTCGGCGTGCAGTGCCTCATCTCCAGTCGGGTGCAGCAAGTGGCTATTCGACTGTCCAGCCTTGCTTCACAGCCTTGCTGACATCTCGACTGTTCTGCCTAAAGCACCAAGTGGCCGCAGTTTTTTTTATCTACTTGGTTGATTTACTTGGTCTCTGTGGTGAAGTCTACGATGTTCGGCCAAATTGACGCTGGTGTTTTGCCTCACGAGGGATCAGAATTACATGTTGGAGCTGCTTCATGACAACCCAACCCAGCATGTCGCACCAGATCACGATTCCCAAAAGCAACAAATCATAATGCAATAGGTATTCATTATTCTACATACGTGTGACAGTCCATGCTCGCCTCTCATGTGAGGGTCATTCCGCCCTTGTCGCATCCCAAGCAAATCCCAACGCCCAAGCCATCAATCCAGTTTCCTGCCATGTCAGTAATCCTGCCGTGTCAGCAGAGGCCTCCTGCTCCTGGACGCAGGCGGGTCAGGAAACATGCATGCCTTTCCCGTTGAATCCAACCAAAGCCATCCCAGACAATCATCTCTCGCGACGGTACCCGGCACGCCTGTTCCTGCGCTTCTCCTCGGCATAGTCGCTGCCGACGGCGCTGGGGCTGTTGGGCACGGGAATGCCGTTGCGGTAGCTCCTCGTGCCCACGTCGCTCTCGCTCTCCTCGCGAATGAGACCGACGCGGCTGCCCCGCTGCAGACCGACGTCGCTCTCGGACACGTTGCTGTCGGCACGCTGGTAGCTAAAGTCCCTCCGCGCAGAGCCCGCCGCGCGTCCCCTCTCGGCGAGCCTCCTCGCCTCGGCGCGGATCCGCTCCTGCTCGCGGTCGGCCGTCCGGTCGGCGGTGCTGTACACCTTGCGGATGCCGCCGGCCTTCTTGCGGCTGCTGGGCGGCGGCGTCGTGTTGGACAGCAGCGTCGAGCTGACGGTCGAGTCGGCCGGGTTCGTGCTGCCGTCCCACTCGCTGGCCTCGGACGCGGCGTTGAGGCCGCCGACGCGCGCGGGCCTCTCGTGGCGGTAGCTGCGCAGGTGCTGCTTGGCCTCGCGCTCGGCGTCCTCCTCGAGCGCCAGCGCCAGCGGCGCCGCCGCGTCCGCGGCGGACGCAAACTCCGTCTTCTCGTCGTGGTGCTTCTTGTCCTTCTTGTGCTCCTTGTCGCGCCGCCGCCGCTCCTTCTCCTTGCTCTTGTCGCGCCGCTTCTTCTCGCGCCGCTCGCGCGCCGCAATGTCCGAGGCCCCGGCCGTGATGCCCGACAGCGCCGTCGTCGCGTCGTCGTCGTGCTCGTCATCGCGGTACCCGCTGCCGCCGGTGCGGGCCCCGCGCCGCCCGTCAAAGTCCTTGTAGACGGACCCGCCGCCGAGGTTGGTCGAGGGCGTGGCGCCCGTCAGGAGGGTGCCGTTGGGGCCGCGGCGGCGCAGCACCGTCGTCTTGTAGTCGTCCCAGTCGTTCTCCTTGAAGTAGAAGCCGCCGTTCTTGGCCCAGAAGAAGAACCAGATGCCCGTGCAGACAAAGGCGGCGCCGATGAGGCCGAAGACGACGAAGACGGCCGTGTTGTTGATGTCGTGGGCGTCCGTCGTGCCCTTGTGGGGGTCCGTCTTCTTCTCGTCCGACGGCTCGTCGGCACGGCGCAGGATGGCGGCCGCGAGAGTGTGCAGGGCCGGTGCCATGGCTGTGGTGGAATGGTGGTGGTAATCGTGGTCATGGAATGTGGGCTCGTGTTCCAGTTGGGTGGGCTGGCGCTGGGGACCAGCGATGGGTGAGGTGAAGGGTACTCGATGGAGGTTTGGAATGTGAAATGGAGATCAGTTTGTGGTCTTGATGCAGTTGCAGTTTGTGAATACCCCGCGTCTTGTCTTGGGTGCCAGGTGACGAAGAGACGAAGGAGGAAGTAGAGGGCAAGTTGAGCGTTGAGGCAGGCACAGATGTGAGGCAAGTACGAGTGTGCCACCGTGGGAAGGAGCGGCGTTGCCAAAGGAACCCGAAATGCCCGTGGCTGGTCCGCCGGGCTGTGACGGGGCTGGTGGACGTGTGGTCCAATGACGTCGTAAGTAAACACATTCCTGTATCCCAGCAACCGGCCATACCCCACCTCGGTACGTACCTTACCATAAGGCACCTTGTGCTCATGCACTTTCACTAATTCGGCTTAGGTCAGCCAACCATCGTTCCGTCCCGTAACCGCCCAGGCTGGGCCTGCCAGTTTCACATGTGCGACACCACACCAGCCCATCGCCTCCACTCCCAACGTCCGTCAGTCAATGCTAACACGAGAGCCAAGGCAAGCCAATGAAATGGGCCGGCAACGTCTACACTCGCCATTCATTTGCTCATCACCCTTCACTTTTAGAAACAAAAATGTCACAAGCGTCTTGCAATAACTGTTGAGCGATATTTGCCTTTTCAATTCGAGCCCGTCCCACCTATGGCGGCCAGGACGCCCTTTGCTCTGATGTCTTCAGTATTCGGTCTTTAATCGTAGTGTACCACTGGTCATCTTCTCTCCGTGGTCTTTCCATCCAATCAGTTGTTTTGCTGCTGGACATGCTGTACCAGGCAGGATAACCAGCTGCCAAACGAAACCTGCCCATCGCTGAGCCGTCGAGGTGCGAACCCCACGGCCCATCCGTACATGACGTTGTCTATCATAGTTGAAAAGTAGAAATAAAAGTGAAGAACAGTCCCGCCTTCCTAGTCCCTGGCATCTGCCTTCTCAACACCACAGCCGTCGATGGATCGAGCAGACGACCCATTTCGTCGATGGCCTGGTGCCCGAGGACGACCCTTCACTGAGGTTGAGTGGGCAGTGGACAAACGGGGAGGGAAAAGGTGAGGGGGAAAGGGGGCGCGTTTTACAAATGGTGTCAGGAGAGGGCTGGCTCCTTCCCATGAGCAAGACCAGTCTCGCCCATGGGTCTTCCAGCCCCCCATCCATACAGGAACTGCCCCGAAAAGTATACATGCTTGGTCCTACTATCGAGACAAATGTCGAGAAAGACCCCGGAGAGCAAAGGAGAACAGGTGTGAGAAGAAAGTGGCTCTCTGCCCAAGACACATGTCCATGCTTCCCTCTTGCAAAGACTTGCCACGTTCCAATATCAGTCTGGATTACCATGCTTCAGTGACAGCTTCAGCAAGTCAAAGAGGTCGTAGAAAAGAAAAACTGGGAAAAATAAGAAACGGAAGAGGTATAGAGCCGACAACTGAGTATGGAGTGTGAAAACGCAAAAGCCCAAGGAAACGATAAATGCAAACGCTCCCGAGCCATGAGATGAGCCGCACAAAGGAAACGCCTTCGCTTGCCATCCATCATCCGTCATCCATCATTCATCATCCATCTGTCCACTTCATTACATCATAATAATCGCCGTCATGCCTTAGAAGAATGACGGCCGGCCATAGGCGTCATACGACGGGCTGCGACCATAGATCGAAGACGGCGCCTGGCTGGACGCGCGAGCCCGGATGGGCAGCCGCTCGAGCCGGCCGCGACGCTGGTCTTCGCCGTAAATGGTGCTCGCTCGATCGCTACCGCCGCCGCCGGCACGGGAACCTCCACCGCCCTGCTGGGTGATGTTGATTTCTCCGCCATCCTCGCAGTGGATCTCAGCGCCCCCCACCTTGAGCGTCGCCGAGCCCGTCACCTTGATCGTGAAGTCATCGTCGCCCTGGCCAGCCGAAGACCGAGTTGTACGTGTCGTGTTGCTCTGCCGGTTATCGCTCTCGTCCCGGCTCTCGCTACTGCGTGTAGAGCGGCTGCTCTTGTCGCTGTTGCGCTTGCCGGCCTTGCGAAGCGTCTCTGCCGTCAAGGGCAGAGTGGCACCACCGTTGATGTCGTCCTGGTAGGCTGCTGCTGCGCGAACCCGGTCTTCGTAATCAAAACTGCAGGCGCTGCTGCCATAGTACGAGTGACGTCGATTAGAGCTGGCGGCAGGCTCAATGCGGTAGGGCACGCCGCCCTCAAGCGCAGCGCTCTCGCGTCGCTGGCTTCGCGAAAGTTGGCCACCTTCGCCATAGCCGTAGCTGATGGAGCGTGAGGGGACAATCTCCCGGTACAGAATATCCTCGCCACTAAAATCTCCGTCGTCGAAGCCGCCGTAGTCGATGGCTCGCCGGGGCTGTACGGGAGGTGCGGACGGAGGAGGTGGGCCTCGAATGGCAGCTCGTCTAGGACCTGTAGTGACGGGACGAGGAGGGGGAGGCATACGCCGCCTGTCCTCCTCCACACTGTATTTCTTGAGAGAAGGCCGTCGAACTAAGCTGATGTCGTTCTCCTGCTCATACTCCTCATACGGATACATCGGAGCTGGGTCGAAAGGCTGTCCGGCGGACACGTTCGGACGATGACCACTTGCAGACGAAGGCCGCTGGAAACGCTGCGCGAGGTGTTGGTGTTGGGGACCACCCATGGCGCTGCCTCCAAAGTAGTCGACTTGGGGCGCCGATGGAGGCGGGTAAGGCGCAGGGCTGGAACCGTAAGAAGGCGCAGGATAGAGCGGAGGAGGGGCAACACCACCAGGGTGTTGAGACCACCACTGAGTGTTGGAAGTGGGCGGTCGAGAGCCGGCTCCGTAGTAGCTGCCAGGGCGAGAGGCTGTCATGGCACGGGGCCGGTGGGAAGCGGACGGGCTCACGCCATAGTAGGCAGCATCGTCATTGCCGCCGGTCGGTCGCCTATAGGCATCTTGTGACTGCGAATGCGAGTGGAGGATAGGAGCAGGGGTCGTCTTCGCGTGCTTAGTCGGTGGGCGAACACTAGCCTTCCTGGCAGCTCGG